CTGTACATATCTAAAATAGGGACAAACTTATTTTGTGAGCACCTGCCAGGATATTCACAGGACAGTTAAGGACTGGGCTTGATGGACTTGCAAGCTCATCCTAGTTTGACAAATCTTTAGGGTTCAAAGAAGGGAGGAAGGACAATTAAGCTACTTATGATCAGTTAGTTGTTACTGGGGAAGAAATAGCCAGCTGTGTCATGATGTGCACAAACCCAGCCCTACTTTTGCATATCATAAAAATCACTACCCTGGGATCTGTCACTTTTCCTTAAACTTCAGGGGAAAAACTGATCTTTGTTGCCAGGAAGCCATCAAAAATTGCCTGTATTCACTTAAACCTATTGGTTCTTGAAGCCTGTTATAAAAAAAAAAGTTAATTCTTCCTTGATTATAGCCAACCTGAATCTCTACATATGATCATAAAACTGTGTGAATGCCTGTATTTTCAGTCCATGCAAAATAGGAAGCTGCATCTATGCCATTTGGACTGATTAACAAAGTCAATAGGTCAACTATTCTTACTGGGCTTTTTGTTTCTAAAAGACCTTTGCACAAAACTCTTAAGGAACATAAAATAAATTCTTCTGTATGCCTATGGTTCCCAGTCTCCTTAAAGGCAAATAGTGTTCTTGCCTGACTTCAAACGTTCTTTCTGCTGACCTGGAGGAAAAGCTTGTTTCTGGGTCAGAAGGTAATATGTTGTTCTTGAGAAATGTGCTCTCTGATCCCTGCCACTCTTAACTGTGAAACTATGGTCCATTTATCCTAGAGTCTGCAGTTCAAGTGTTTCAGAACCTTAGCGTTGACTCTCTCTCTCTCTCTCTTTTTTTTTACCAAGATCTTCCTGTACAGTGATCAATCTTCCAAAAGAGTCTTGCTTATTCAGCAGTCTCCTGCTGTGAAGTACCTCATAGGTACAAGTAGTTCTATCCTGCAAAGTGCCATGCTGCCAGATCAGGCAGACTGGTACCTTCTAGGTCCTTATTTTTCTAGGTCCTTTAGACTGTACATCAGCTTGAGCTGTGATAGCCAATGGCAAAGGTCTGTGTGACTTATACTGGGAATACCACGTTTCAGTATCATGAGGGAGACAACTTAGAGCAGGCCTTAAATCTCAAACTCGTTAGGAAGATACCTGTTCACCAGAAACCCTAGTCAAGAGAGATTAAATTCTGTGGTAAGAGCAAGGGAGAATAAAGAAGCAGCTTAAACTATTCTCAAAGTTCAATTTCAGAGAGGGGTCATTTTCTTCCTGAACATCTGAAGTTCATAGATTCATAAGGAGGAAACATTCTCACATAGCACACTTGAGTTGAAGGAGAAGCTGGGAAGAAACCTTGCTAACCAAGTTACAAAAGAATCCCTGCCTTTGTATCATGGCATTCTTCCACACTGCTGTCCAAAATTAGTGCATTCCAACTTACTTCTGTCCTATTTTTCTGTTGTCAACCAGGGAGATTTCTAAGCTGTCTGCAAAGAAATTGGAGAAGTAACAGGCAAATAAATTGGATAAAAGCTTTCACCATTTTTTTTTCCAGGAGAAAATTTCTCCAAATTTCATGAAGTGGAAGGATGCACTATGAGGGGTTTAGGTTGTATTTAGGTGTGTTTTTATCAGTATCAAAAACAAATGTGCTGCTAATTTGGCCACCATACTGAATACTACAGAGTGCATCAGTCAGTGTCGAAGAATGGGGAAAGAGAAACACAGACACACACACAGAGGACAAGGTTTGGAGAAAATTCTGCAAATTCTAGGAAGGGGATATAGAACATGACAAAATAAATCCTGGGTTGTGGTTGTTGTTGTTTTTAAAAGAGGTTTTAGCAGAAAAAACCTTCTTTAATTTAACCCCAATCTTTCCCAACACTTTTCAGCACAGAATGTCAGTAAGCCATGTGTCTAGGGTAGCCCACTGACAGTCCAAAGGTTGAATGAGCTTTCTATGAATAAGTCAACCGAAGGAACTACTCAGGACAATCCATTAAAGGAAGGAAGATTTCTGTCTAGGAAGTTATATGCTATCTGGTCCTATTTTCTAGCACCAACAAGGCTTGCTCACAAAATTTGGAAAGAAAGGAGCAACAGCCAGGATTGCTACATGAAAAGGAAATTTCCAGAGAATCCTACTCCAAAAGGCAGTGGAGCATTTGGGAAGATTTCATACTTTCTACTTCTCCTGTGTAACAATTCCTGCTCATGGTCTTGGTCTCACTGTGACAAAATCACTTTGTGGTCTGGTAGTGTCTCACAGGTGAGGAGGTGCACATGGCTACGCAGTTGGGTAGACATTTACAGATTATGTGGAAACCTTATAAATATGGATAGGTCTATGTAGACTTATGAATATGGATGAGACTTAGGCAGCAGAAACATCAACAAGAATGGTAAGGAGGTCTAATATCACTCTTGGCTAATGAGAAGACCAGTGTCCACCCCAGGGAAGCTGAAAAACATTGCCTCCAAAACATTGCCAGGAGCACAGAACTAGGGAGTCCTAATTCCACTTCTCCTTCCTGCATTAGGAAGAACTGTCTTGCCCAAGAGCATACCATCGCTTACCATTCCATGAGATGGCATCAGAATGACCGATTACTTCAGCCTTTCCAACCCTGACATTCTCCCACATACATTGGGCTAGAATCAACTTCCTCTACAGGGATTTTTGGTGCCCCTGGCTAGATAGTGATAGGCTGGTTATAGGCTGGACTACAATTGTTATCATTCCTATCTTGGATGATGGTGGTTGTTGTCCATAATATTTGGATGACATCAGTTTGGGAAAGACCAAGTTAAGCCAATACCATCTAAATAAGTACCCAATGTATTCTCTATTCAGAAATAGTTTCCATATTTTCTACTGATGTTAAAATCAACACATTTTGGGGGCAAGGCCTCGAAACCCAATTTGGACAGAACATCACTGTACTCTTCATTTGACTGCACAGTTCCAAATTCACCTTCTTTACATACTAATAATGGCATAGACACAAGTGAAATGAAATTTAAAGTCTGCAAAGGAATGGAAGAACTTCTTATTGCCTTGTTCTTGGGGCAAAACTCCTGCTCCATGTAGACTTCAGAACCAAAAGCCAGGCCAGGAGTAACTGAGCAATTCAAAGACTAATGTAGATTGTTCAATTAAAAGAGATGAAAACAACTTCCATGTCAGCCAACAGATGAGGCAAAGGAAATGTGGGCTGGGAAAATGGAGAGGGGAGAGTTGTAGTGGAATGACTGGCTATCCAAAGAACAGGGCAGAGAAAAAAATGTGAATGTAACATTTAGGGAAAACCAATGGGGAGAACAGTGTTGGAGATTTGAATCCATTAGAGGATATCCTCCTGAACACTGAGTGCTGAAAGAATCCTGAGTAATTAAGTAGCCCAATGTCCCATTAATAAAATACTCATAACCACAAAGAATATAATTGTGTTGAATTCAGAATATGCCCATAGCCTAGTATCTGAAGTAAAAGCTAGATATATTCAGAAATACATGAAGGTAGAAAACATGTCACTTCTATTCAAACTACTGTATATCCTGAAGAATGGGAAGAATGTGGTAACATCTGAATCACAAGAGAGACATAGAGGGGGAGTTCCTTTAGTCTCTTAAACCCAGAGATTTATTTAAGTAACAGTAGGCCCGGTGAGAAGCAGACACAGGAAGAGGGTGTGAAGACTTTCTCTGCACCTATCTGTCGCCATCTGCCTTTGTGGTCAAATAGGCTCATAAGTGCAACAAGCTGATGCCTAATCTCCAACACAGAGCAAATGGAAGTATCAAACAGCTGTCTAGAAGTGTTAAGGTTGCTTTTACAAGGGCCTCAGAGAAATGGGGCAAGAGGTAGCCTGCTCACTATCTTCCCAAATTCAATGCCAATTCTGTAAGCATCCCAAAGGTCCCACTTCTAAACCCCTGGTGTCACCTTCCCTCAAAGATTTCCCATCACTGTCAATCATTAGGACATAGAGGAATGTGGACTCCAAATCAGGGTTGAGAATCACACTTAAGCCACACACAATTACTATACTATATGCAGCACTAATAAAAAGGCTTGAAGTTTTCCTAGTTGCCACACTGTAAAGTATTTATAGAACTCCAGGCGTGAATAGGCTGCTCAGAGCAGCACTCCTCCTCGGCGTCAGAATCTCCAGGAATTATTTGGCCTTTCACATTGTTGCTTTCACTCAACCTACAGACACCCAGACAAACAGGCCAGTAGTGTTCCAGCCTCCAGACACTCAGGGGAAAAAGGGCAATTCAGTGAGGGTTAATAAAGCTAGTTTATGTGGAATTTGTTTTTAAAAAAATAATAATACATGGACTACAAGCCAGGACTAAGGCATACTCAAAAGCATTTTTTAAAAAGTGGGAAGGGAGAGATTTTAAAAGGTGGAAAGTTAAGAAGCAGCAAACAGACTTTGATACAGCAAAGTTATTAGAGATAGCAAAGAACAAGCAATATGATTAATTGTAGAATCTACAGCTTCTATTACATACTCGACGATAGCTACAAGCTGGACCCTATGAAACACCTGCAGGTTAATACCCAAGGAGATCTGAAATCCAAACATAGATTAAAAAAAAAACAACCCACCAGGAAACATCTTTCAAAATGTAGTAGAGATATCATTGCTTGCAAAAGAAGTCCTAAAGTCCTCAAATTAAGATTGCTCCATTACGGTATATTGTTGTTCTATGGAAAGTGCTTCCATGTAAAAATTCAAATACAATGCCTGGGTACGGTATCTTATTTACAAATTGTCACACGTTTATTTTGATACATGAGATGTGTATCAGAAACAACACTGTATCTACATTAAGTTCAGAGCTTTTGGTCATTCCATGGATTGCAACAACCTATTTCATACCACTAACTTTCTCTTGCAATCCCTCCAATTTAATATTGGGACTAGTTAAGTGGCATAAGCCACTTTGTGTGAGATGGGCAGCTATATAAATGTGAAAAAATAAATAAGGCTAATATTACCAAAGAATGAATTATGCAAATATGCTTCAAAAGTGGGGTCAGCGATACGATGCCTATGTGTGTCATCAAGTTCCCCAGTCTCTTATTCAGCACCTGTAAGAAAAAGTTCTTGTGTGATTGTTGTTGTTGTTGTTATTATTATTATTTCAATTTACATAGCCATTCATCTTACAAATGTGACTCTAGGTGGCTTACAATAAAATAAACAAAATACAGAATATAAAAAATAAACCACATGGCAGTCAGGCATTATCCAAACAACTATCAACACAGGGAGGGGATGGACTCTGTCACACACCCAGGGCACCACTGGAGGAAAGGAATCCTCTTCTCCTTGAAATTTGCTGGTGGAAATGAAGCCCACCCATATCAAGAATTCTTACTATGGAGGTATTTGGGAATAGGGGCTTCCTTCTCCATTTCGCCAGTCTGGAACTGAGGAAATGGAAGCAAATGACTTTTTAAATTCAGTTTTAAGTTACAAGGAATGGGAATCCCTTTTTAAATTTATTGGAAAGATAGGAGGTCCAAGTCAAGCTAAAGAAGAAAAAAAGAGCCAAACAGTTTCTACAATATGATTGTGAGTACATACCCATAATTTTCAAGGACAATATCAGGAATCACTTTGAAATCTTCAACCTCGTTGTTAGGAAATCAGAGGAACTTTGGAATGAAATCAAAGAAGTTGTTAAGGATTAATGTGAAAAGAGAGTGCCAAAGACCAAGAAACAGAAAAAAACCAAACTGGATGTTAGAACACATGGTGGAAATTGCCAAGAAAAGAAGAGAATCCAAAGTCAAGAAAGGTGAAGAACTTAGGAAGCAACGTAACAAACCATTTTGGAGAACGGTTAGAAGAGACCAGAAGCAGTATTACAGTGATATCTGTAAAGACACTGAAAATGGAAATAGACATGGAAAAAACAAGGAAAACCTTCCAAAACATCTCCAAACTCAGAAAGAGGTTCCAACCTCGAATTGGTATGCTAAAGGATGCTACCGGACAAATAGTAACCAATCTGAAAATCAAACAAAGATAGGAGAACACTGAAATTCCGAGATGTCAACATTTAAGAAACCTTAGAAGATATTCCCTATTTATAAGAACCAAAGAGGAAGTTAGATCAGCATTCTAGCCAATACCAAATCAGAAGGCTACAGGAATTGATGGAATATCTATAGAAATATGGCAAGCAACAGAAGAAGAAATCAGTAAAAGCTCTCACCAAACTATACTAGCAAATCTGGAGAACAACACATTGGCCGAAAGACTGAAAAAGATCAGTCTACATACAAATACCAAAGAAAAGAGTCTTAATAGAGTGTACAAACTATCACACAATATCCTTAATTTCACATGCTGTTAAAATAATGTTTAGGATCATCCAACACAGATTACAGCCATACATGGAAAGGGAGTTCCCAGATGTCTGGGATGGTTTTAGAAAAGGCTAAGAAACAAGAGACATTATTGTTTATTATGCTAAATAATTGAGAAAGCCAAATAATACAAGGTAGTCAGTATATGCTTCACTGACTATAGAAAGGCCCTTAATTGTATCTACCATGTCCAGTTGGGGAAAGTCTTTAGGAAAATGGAAATCCCAGAACATCTCATTGTCCACATGTATATACAGGTGAAACTCGAAAAATTAGAATATCGTGCAAGTGTT